AAACTGGATGTCAGAACAAACTCTGGAAATTGCCAAGAAGAGAAGAGAAGCCAAAGCCAAGAAAGACAAACATCTCAGGAAGGAATTTAACAAAGAGTTTCAGAGAGCTGTTAGATGAGACAAGAAGCAGTAGTACAACAACATGACATTGAAGATAAAAGCAGACATAAGAAAAGTCTTCCAAATGATCTCTGAACCCAGAAAAGCTTCCAACTTCAAATTGGCATGCTAAAGGATGTCAGTGGACAATACTAACCAATTCAAAGAATATCAAAGAAAGATACAATATACTAAAATACTGTATAGTAAAGAGGTCAGAATAAAAGAAACCTTAACAGAATAAGACTCAGAAGCTATGCATAATAGATGCTTCAAGCTCCAAAATGTATTTGTAGGTCATAGATTTAGTGTGTCAATAGTGACCCATGATGGTTTGACAGCAAGCAAACACTGCAAATATTTTTCATTTTAGAACTGTGAAACAATGTTTTTTATTGTGTCACGGATGCTTCTTCCAACCTCCATCAGCCATCCTTCAGACCAACTCTCCCTATCCTGCAATTCTCACCAAAGAGCTTATCCTTCCTCTTTCTCTTGACAGTTAAGCTTCATGGCTGTATTTCCCTTGGCCTTTTATTGCCCTGATCTGCAGGCAGTTCTGAACAAGTGATTATTCCAGTGGTGCAGAGTTGTGCAGATGTTGGGGAAGCTCTTCCAGTGTAATTCATAATGCTGTCTAAAGCTTCTGGAAAGTTAAATTTACAGTCTTTGAAACAGCAAATAGCCATACTAGATTAATAATGGCTGATGGTGTACATTCAGATTTCCTATAACAAAATGGAAAGTAGGAGGGTGAAAGTGCCAAAATACATATGAGTAAGGTGAGCTAAACTTCTGTGGATGTCTATAATTTATTCGATAGTTTTCTCCAGATCCCAGTAAGGAAAATGCTTAGGAAAGGACTGCATCAGTGTAAACTATTGGAGAAGGAAAGGATTCAGCTTCAACAACTTACCCAGTTTTCTTCTTCAAAACAGACTGATCAGACTTTTTTTTTTGGTTGGTTTTGGTTGGTTTTTTACAGATTAAGTAAAGTTTCGGGTGCTACCTAGCTTCACAACAATGATTGATTATTACTGTGATTAGTCAAAATCCATGATTAGAAGTTGATTTGCTTCAGATTGGTGTAATTAAGATTAATTACAATTTGCCTGGTTTGGGATGACACAGCAGATTATGAGTAATCTTAAACAGAAATAAACGCTTCTGATTTTTTGTGCCCATGCCAGGGAAAGCAGTGAAATAAGAGGGTGCAAGTCCAAGTATCACTGCATTAATGTTGAGCGTGTCCAAACCAGCTCAAGATTTTTTATCAGTACAAATTTACTTACATGTTTACTTTGTATTATTTGTACACCATCTACTTGGTCTTTTCCAGGTGGTTTACAATTCTAAAGCAATAAAATATCCTCAAAGCCAATTGACAGTAACACAACAGCTCATTTTGGACAGGGGGCCATTATGATCTAGAAATACCTCCTTATATGGCTGTTTGGCAATAGTCTGTTGTCTTTTCCAGAACGTTCAATATGATATCATTGATTTAGAATGTGTATGGAGCCTCATAACTTCATTTCCCTTCTGTGAAAGTGCAAACAGATATTCTGACACTATTTAAAATGTGATAGAGTCATCAGAGTGTCAATTACATTTGCTCTTGTTAATTTGAGAGTTTTCATTGCCTACTTGGGAGCCTCAATTCCAATAGGATTCCTAGGATATCCTTTCGGACCCCCCCCCCCATTTTGACATATACTATAATTTAATGTAAGCCTTTTACAAGACCCTCGGAAGGGAATGAGGATAGGGATGAATCCCCTAGAATTTCTCATTTTATTTAATTTTTTTCTTCCACTATGGATAAAATAATCTCTTGTTTACAGTTTGTACTTGCGTAGTCCACAAGCGATGCCATGAGCTTATAATAACAAAGTGCGCCGGCTTGAAGAAGCAGGAAGCCCATGATGAGGTAAATATTTATAGACAGAATGCCTAAATAAAAGGAAACTGTGCAGGGTGAGTGTGTTTTAGGCATGATGACTCTTCCAAACAACCAGCCTTTCCATCTCTTGGTTTAAAACACACACAGAACTGATCTAGGTTGTTTTCACTGTTTTCAGATCTAGACATCAGGATGCTGTGAGCTCTTAGAGAGATGCAGTCTCTTAGCTATGGCTCTTCTGGACTGTTAGCCAGTCAGTGTTTGCTTGCTGGCCACTTGCCCTGTCCCTCAAGTCCATGTCTAAACACTCAGTCTTCTGCCCTCTTCACAAAAAGAAAAGATAATGAATAGCTAGTGCTCCCCTATGTGGCAAATGTCCATTGCCTTATTTTTGAAATTCCTAATGCTCTGTGCCATTCTACCAGTTGGGCTCCTTTATGTAACTATGTCAGCTTCCTGCTACAAAGGATCTCCAGTGATGGTAGGTTTGACAAGCCAGATAACTCCTCCACTGATCATACAGTCTGTCCCTTCAAGCACAGGGCAGTCACACATCACCATTTCTGAGGTGGTAGCCACTGCCTCAACACAGTGGTTCCTTGTCCATATCTACAATACCACTGGCCAGGCATAGATCAAAATTGCTCACTTGTCAATGTGATTAACCACAGGAGTTCACCTTACCCACTATAGCAGCATATCTCAACCTTAGCAACATTAAGATATGTGGACTTCAACTCCCAGAATTCCCCAGCCAGCCATGGGTTGAGAAACCCTGCAGTATAGGGGCTGCATTTTCATCTGGAAAACCTCTCTGCTTTTTCCAATTGCTACCACCTCTCCCATTTATAAAAAAGAGATGAAGCGCTACAGGATTGGTGGGATTTGTTTGGTTTTTGCTTGTTTGCATCATTCTACTTATATCTGTATGGGGGAAAATGAAACATTTCAATGGAAGCAATCGTTATTGCTTAAAAAAAGAAAATTGAAGTATAGCATAGGCTCTGAAGGCAGCCTATGAGACTTCAGCCTATGAGACTTCAGAGGTGACAGACTGCAGTTTGCTATAACTGTGAACGTTATAATGAAAGTTTTAGTCTAGCACTTCTTGAGGGCAACTAATTTGGGGAAGGCTAATCTCAACTCTCAAAGTGTAATAAGATACTGTGCGCTCATGGGGTTCTTGGTAAAAATAGTTCACCTGTTTAGTTCCCTCTTGTTGCATTTTCATTTTCTAAGGGCATAGTACTTATCTCATTTTCAATGTCCCCATTGCTTTGCCAGGCAACATGCTCAGTGTTTTCAATAAGGGATATTTTATGCCAGTTAGTGATCTACCAACTAATGCTACATATTATGCCAGCAGGACTCTGTGATTCCCTGTGTTGATTACAGTCTTAGGCTCCAGTTTTAAGGAATTTCTAAACCGATATAGTAATTGTTTAAAGGACTCATGGATCATGTGGGTTGCACATGGTTGGAGGAAGGCATGTACTGTATCTTTAATAGTACTGCAATAGGAAACTTTAGAAAACAATCTGAATGTAGCAAATTTATTTTTATGGTAGCTCAGTTGTCTTTAGTAAGATCAGCAAGATGGACATTGTTTCCTGAAAGACCATTCACTTTGACCTCCCCTGCAATATGCATAAGAAACTGCCTTAGATTGTTCCAAAAAGAGTCAGTATTGCCTAACTAATTGACAGGTTTTTCTCCAGGGACTCTGGAGGAGATGTATCTTACCTCCTATCTGTTCCTTTTTGTCAGAGGGCAGCAAGGATTGAACGCAGGAACATGTACTTTACTACTGAACTATATGTTACAATGAATTGATATCATAATAATGATATGTAGCTCCCCCCTCCCTTAATTACAGCATATTTTCAGGTGGTTGTCCTTTTCCAAATGTATGAGTAGATTTTTGATTCTTTCTGCTATCTTAGAGGGGGTTTTGATGGGGAGGGGATGGATGAATGGGTATTTTTATTTTTTCAGTAAACCCCAATCTTGCTGCTATCTCTGAGTGTGGATAGTGCTGTTTCAGCTACTGTATTAGTAACGAAGCTTGCATTTAATATATACAAATGGATCCTTGCAATAGTATCACATCAGATATAAAGTCTCATGTAGAGAGGTGAATATGAGAGAGAATGGACTCCTTCCATTACTTGTGTTCCATATCTTCCTCCCTCTACAGTCCCAATTCGATTGCCTACTATTCCTGTGGACTGACATCCCATGGCTTTTTAAAGGGGGAAGGGGTTGGTTGCGGAACAGAAGCTTATGCTTCCTCCCCCAAAAACTAGCATGTAATACAACCTGATGTCCAATTCCCCAAATGCCTCCCAGCCTTCTGTGTACAGTTACAGAGGTTCTGCTGTTGTTCTGTTTTTGGAAGTTCAACAGTATACTGATAGACAGACGGTATGTACTTAATAGATGAGGGACTAGAAGAGACTAAATAGTAGCATGCTAACTTTGGTGCTCTTGCACTTTTTATCTTCCAGGTGGGCTCCCAGCGTTTCAGTGTCAACATGCCTCACAAGTTTAGCATTCACAATTACAAAGTGCCCACCTTCTGTGACCACTGTGGTTCATTGCTTTGGGGTCTTCTGAGACAAGGTTTACAATGCAAAGGTAAGATACTTTCCCTCTTTAAACCCAGGATCTTACTATTAATATTACAGCTCAGTTCTATGCATTTCTGCCTTGAAGTAGATTAAACTGAATTGAAATAGGGCTTAACTGTAAGAGAGAATTTAAGTCTTCCCCTTTGGCTGGTACAACACTATTATATAATTGAAGAAACTAATTATGCTCCTACAAGTAAATTACCTAAACTAGAACTAGAGTTAAATGTCCTTGCACTCTTCAAGTCAGTAGCGTTGAGCATGTTTTTAAGATCAAACTCTGTAGACCAGTTTTTAACAAGTTGTTATGTTTCTGTGTGTAATTGCACAGTAATGCCCTAATTTGCATGTGGCAGCTAAAACAGGGTTCTCAGAAAATTACATAATGCCCAGTTAATGGAATAACTTGATATGTACTTCTGGCCTTGAGTTTAGAGAAGATTTTGCAGAGACTGAGAATATTTTTCAGACTTAACTTTCAGTCTGTGTTGTTGTTTCAGTCCTAATTGCTTTCCTGCACCTATGTTGCATGTTAGAATAAAATACCTCATTTTCATTGGGATTTCTTTGTGCATATGCGCAGTGTAAATTGCAGGAACATGGAAACCAGTCTGACCAGGTTCAGAAAGTGACATGTAAAAACGTAAACCTCCCTAAGCTGATGGTAGTATTTGGTTGTGATCAATATGGAAGGGAAAAAATGCTGTGTAGGACAATTAAGGTCACATGTTGGGGGTTGGCAGAAGTACATCAGAGAAGATACTGGATTCTCTAACACAATTCCTGAGTCTGAATACACAACTGTGCATTTGTCCTGCATGTTTATTCTACTCTCCTTGGTCTGTTCTTTTCACTAGCTACAACTGATGTAAAATAGCACAATCCCCAGATGAGCCTTTGGGGCTGGAGAGGCCATTTGATGTGAATTAGCCTACCAGCTAAATAAACTCCTTCTGTCTGTGTTTATTAGAAATACCATCTAGCTTTCGCATGGCATATCTATTCCTGATTATCATTTACATGTCAGTTTGAATTTACAATAAAGCCATTGCAACAGCTCCTATGAAATAGGGCATTATCTTTATTTTGCAGCTGGAGAAACTTAAGAGATGGAGAATGAAATAATGAATGCATGGCAAAGATGAAACTTAAGCCGAAATATCCCAAATTTGATTCTTTTCTTCTCTTTCCATTGGAATATAAATCCATAGTCAATAGCACCAAAGGTTATATTCCAAAGCTAGAAAAATATCTCAGATATTTAAATGCTGACATTAATGTTTTTTGTTGGGATGAGAAGGGAGCCAACATTAGATATTAGATAGCATAGTCTAACCACAGACCTTTGCACAAATTTAGTATTTCTATAGATTCATGAACTTGTTTTGTTTTATTATGGCATCAGTATGTATGCATACACCCACCATACAACCAGGCATGAACATGCAAATTATGTGCATTCTTCTAAAATACACATTTTTGTATAGGTTTTTACTTGCATTTGGAAATTGGAAAACGAAAGCAATGAGTAAGTTTCCTTTTAAAACTTGGCCCCAGCATCTCTGTGGCCAGCGTTAGACTTATGGTAGAGTACACAGAACTGCCATAAACTTGAACTTTCCAATGCAAAATCACATTTTTGAGAGGTCAGCATTTCCTATTTTGCCATTTCATTTTCATAATGGATGTTATATATGTGCCGTAGCAAACTTACTACTTCCAATATTCCCGTTTCTTATTTCTTTCTCACTGCAAGCAGAACAAGAAGAATCTCAAATACTTCAAAAAGAAAGACCAGGGGAAATAAGGATATTTGGCCACTGCGGTCATTTGTCATTCTGGCTTTTTCAGTTCTGGGTGGGAGACGGTTCTCCTTTTATTTATTTTATTTATTTATCATGCAAATTTATATAGCTTCCCATCTCACCAAAAGCAATTCTGGGCAGCGTACAATAATCGGATAAAAGCAAATGTAAAAACAACATAAAAAAGATAAAAACCACATTAATAAATATCATAAATATATGTATATTATTTTTTGCTTTGCTTCAATTCTGCAGAATCTGCATGTGTTATTTTAATTTCCTTTACAAGAAAGCACTTGAATAAGTAATCCAGCACTGCTATGATGACAGTAAACCGAAAAAGGGGTTGAATATTGAACAGCCTCTCCCCAATTATTAGCTGCTTCTACTTGTACATTTGAAGCCAGTGTTCCTACAAATATTTATGTGAAGCATGTATATTATTTCTGATTTATTGTCTTAATTTATCTGCACTTTATAAGGGCTGAGGGCTGACTGCAGCTCCTTCTGCAAATAGGCAGGATGGGGCTGTGGGGAATGCTTGTGTTACTGTGACTGTGTTGCTCCCCCTCCTTCTGGATTCACAGGTGCTTGGTGGCATTGCTGCCAGTTATCCCTACCTATTGAAGCCAGTTAGCTACATGCACAGCCTGCCTCTAAGTTATTTTCCACTAAGGGAGTGAAAGCTTTGTGGTTAGATTGCAGAGAGAACAAATGAATCTCTGCAGGAGAAACACAGAGAGAATACATCAAGGAGAATTATGTTGAGCCAAATAAAGAACTGAAAAAAGAAACAGATTCAGGTATCTGTTGTGGTGCAGAAAGAACAAAAAGAGTGCTGTGGGTTGCATGGGGATGACAAGGTAATAGGGATGTGCAAAAAGAGACCTCTGGGAAGTAGGAGATGGGGTGCAGATGGGGTGGTGGGGATGAGATAAAATAAGGGGAACTTGAAAGATGGGACTTCAGGGAGATCTTGAAGGAGTGACGGAGAGATGATGATCAAAGCGATAGGATGTAATGAAAACATGCTGTGCCCAAAGGAGGATAAAATGAAAACAGAGAGAAAAAAATGACCATATAAATAAGTGAAGGCTTCTGAGAATGAAGGTAGAGAATGAGGAATGTGCACCAGAGGTTACCAGAATTGGCTTTTTTAAAAAAACTGAACTAAAAGGGCAACAAAATTATTGTTCTGTTTAACACAACATTATGACCTCTTTGAGTTGTCAAAAATGTCAAAGTGATCCTCGGATGGGTTTTAGTTGCGTATTGTTCACTCTAAAATCATACATGGAAATCATTCACTGTAAAATCATACTCTTTCCTTGTTCACTGCATTTATCTCCCACTTTTCCTTCAGGAACTCAAAGAAGCAGGCATAGCACTTCCCTCCTCACAAATGTCCTGTGAGATAGGTTGTTCTGAAGAGTAATGACTGGTCCAGAGTCAGCTGGTGACTTTCATGATTGAATGAGGATGCGACGTGGATCTCCATGATCCTTCTCCGAGACTCTGAACTTTGTACCACACTGGGATGTGTTGCTTCATTTGCAGAAAAGACTGCTATTGAACTTTGTGGCCAAACATTTGAAGGAGAGACAGGAACAAATCCCTAGACCAATGTTTCTCAACCTTAGCAACTTTAAGATATGCGGACTTCAACTCCCAGAATTCCCCAGCATGCTGGCTGGGGAATTCTGGGAGTTGACGTCCGCATACCTTAAAGTTGCTAAGGTTGAGAAACACTGCCCTAGAGCATATTTATTTGATTGCTACTGTACAGCAGAATGCAGTTAGATCAGGAGTAGACTTTCTCTTTGATTGCTTTCTTTTTCTTAGTTTATATTAGCTTGCATTAGTCTTTTAACTTCTTTTTAAACAATCTTTAATAAAATTATACAAAAAAAAAAAAGATTGGGTAGACTATGCATCTTTTTCAACCAGAGTCCATGCTTCATTTCCCCCCATTTTTCTGTTTTTCTAAGCCACCATGGCCATGACTGATGTCACCAAAGACAGCAAGGTCAAAATTCCCCAAGTTTTTTTTGTAATTTTTGGTGAGTTTGGGAAAGTTGTTTTGTTATGAAGTAAATAACTCTGCTTATTTTCTATATTCTGGAGGTTGCAAATCGCCCCAAAATTGTGCTGTTGAATTGGATAGGGATCCCGCCAAAATTCAGCAGTAATCTGGAGGGCACTGTGACCCCCAAAAGTGAGGAGAGGATTGTTCATCCCTGAGTTAGTCTTTAATCTGACCTTGGAAGCCAGTTCTTTATAGAATGCAACATACCTGAACTGTCACAAATCTGTTTAGTCTATTTCCACTTAAATCAGATTCTCATTACGGGGACTGTAAAGAGTATTTTATAAATAATACAGATAGATGATAGATACTAATATAACAGCTTAATCTTATTTAACCCAGAACTTTCTACCCCTACCCCCTTTCTGTTTGGTTTAAATTACAGTTTGCAAGATGAATGTACATAGACGCTGTGAAACAAACGTAGCACCCAACTGTGGAGTAGATGCTAGAGGGATAGCTAAAGTACTTGCGGATCTTGGCGTTACTCCAGATAAGATCACTAATAGTGGACAAAGGAGGAAGAAGGTAACCAAGGGAACAGTTTAAAATATGAACTAATATGGTTCTGCACTGTGAAGTATGGGAGACATCTTGTGTCCTTTTATTTTAGTATGCATTTTAGAGTATATATTCTGGTTGATTTAGGGATCGTCAAGGAATGTATTTGTCACTTCCTAAACAAAATGACCTGATGTGGTCCCTCACAAACCTATGGTCAGATTGGACTTCAGCTGTCCATCAGATTTTACAACAATTAAGAGCTGACAGGACTTCCTACTCTTTCCAAATGTCAATCTTTAGCAACTTAAATACATGTAAAATATGTATTTAGAATATATTTAAATATATCTATGGAGAGGAATTTGCAAATTAATGTAGAAGCAGGACAACACAATGGGTAAAACATTCAAAAGTGGCAAAGACCTGAAAATGTCTCACCCATCCCAAACCTTGATCTCTGGTGTCACTGAAAATGGTAACGTACTCCCTCCCTTCTCAAAGGAGCAGCCAGTAATGTGGAGTAGTAACAGATCATGCTGCATGATATCATGCTGTCATAAGATCCTAAAATAGCCTTCCTTAACTTGGCGATATCGAAATTATAGAGCTGTAACTTATCTAGTGTACCTAGATGATAAAAGGTTGGACGAGGCTGTTTGTAATCATTGCTGAGTCCATGATTTGTAGATGACTTTTGCTACAGCAACCCTGCATCACCTATAATGTCTACTTTTCTTCTGGCTTTAAACAATTACAGTATATGACAGGAAGAAATTGGATTTAGGTGGTTGTATTTTGAAAAAAAAAATACTAACCTTTTCTTGACGTAGTAAGTAACTATATCAAGTTACCTATGAATGAGAAAGCTTGACAGTGTGCTTGAAGTCCATCAATTTGCATCTCACAAACATTGTCAACCAGGGTGCATAACTTGCTTCAGTTTGAGGGCCACATTAGCCCTTTGGCATGTTGCAACCTAGAACTTTTAATTATTTTAATTAAACAGAGCGTATGTGATTATTGCCTATGTATTTACTTTCCCCTTCTGTTAAATTACATGGCACAGGTAAATCTTATCTGATGAAGCTCTGGGGCTCCATACCATGCATCCTGCTGTAGAATTACAACACCAGAATTAACTCTTTGATATGTTTGAAGAGATTGAAGACCAATGGGGCTAAGGGATAAATTAGATGCTGCCCTGAAAATATATGTGACATCAGACAAAAAGCCCCTTATCTCTGTTAAAAAAATCTTCAGGGTGGGTGTTTGCAGCAGAATAGGAATGGGAGGGGTACAATTCTCTTCTCTTGCTAGCTGTTTTTCCCTAAAAAACAAAATTCCTTACAGAATTGCAGACCACAAAGAAATAGCCCAATAGAAATGAATCTATGGCTATCATTAAGCACATAAGGGATCTGAGTTTTGGGTGAGAAGGGCCCTGCATACTGGATGGGAAAGGATAAATTTCCAATCCCCCAATTTTTCCTGCCTTCCATCTCTGTAATTACTTAAAGATAATCAAAACCTGAAGCTGCATCTTGCACATGAAATACATTAAGGGATAACTTATTAGTAATTTGGCCCTTAAACTGATTTGACCTCAGTAGCAGTGAAGTCACAAATGGTTGCATTCTTTTTTCAATTGTTAGAAAGAACATTTCTTGTCAGGAAGCCACATAAACATCACAGCCACTGCTTTGAAGTCCCTTTCTTGGAACACACATGAATGTAAATACTCTTAAATGTAAATACTCTTATCTAGTTGAAAAACTGGCATAAGATCATTCCTTGCTTGGTCCTCACTGCCCTCCATGCTATTACAATGATGTCAAATGGAAACACACTGAAATAACATTCTTCTGAAACAATTCAGAAGATATTTGCAAAACTGACCCTTCCACACTAAGACGAACATGATCAATTGGAAAGCATACCATACAGTATATATGGAAGATAGTTGTACCAAGAGATACATACATGCTCAGTACAATCCTATATATGTATATTAATATGTAAATCTAATTGCGGACAGTATGGCTTTCTCTCAGCAAGGTGTCTACAAGATTGAAAGCTTTGCCTCTTGCAGGTGCTTCACTGACTTTAATTGTACTTGCAAAAATAGTGTGTGCTGCTTTCTCACTTAATATTGCCAGCCTACCCTATACACATTTATTTAATGAACTTGTACACTAGCAAGTCTGGAACAACTCACAGTAGTTTTCAACACTTAACATAAAACAGATACACAATTAAAATGGTGGATCAAAGAACAGCATAGAACAATAAAAACAGAAAAATAATAACCATAGATGCCAACTAGTCATATCAGAACATCACAATTGAAAACCCCTGTAGAAGAGTTCTCTTTAGCCTTGCAGAATGACTTCAGGATTGGTGCTAACCAGAGCTTAAGGGGAAGGCTGTTCCACAAAGGGGGGGGGGGGCTGTCACAGAACAACATAGTTTATTGACCTCCATAATTCTCACATCCTTTTTACATGGAACACTGAGCATCTTCAAGTGGATCTTAATATCTTAGATAGGTCCATACAGGGAGATAGCAATTTTGCGCACACTGAAACCAGCACAGATTTCTTAAGAGTTAGCTGTACCCTTACATCAGTGTATTGGCTGATCTTACTTGTATTCCACTGTTCCTCAAAGTAGCCTGAAGTTAGTTACTTCTGTTTAAATCTTAGCATTAGCAATAACATTTTATCTTTTCCTTTTGGCTCATGCTCCTACAGAATTGTTAAAGTCAAGCATCCTTATGCTTTGATGTGCATAATCTGTCTAGAATCCCCTCAAATTTTATTCTTCCACTGTTCCATATGTCATCAAGGTTTTGTTAGAAGGGTACTCTGTAAATTATAATGGACTATCATGTCCAACAGGATTTTATTAGGATCTTATTTCAGAAGTTAAGGTTTTTAAAGGGGGTCTAAAATTGAACACCTTTTAAAGATGAACTCCAGATTTTAAACTTCGATAAAGATGTATTTTCAGTTGCCTTCCTTCTTTTGTAGAAAAGCATTGTTATGTGGAATTACATCTTTAGTGTCTCATAAATGTCATGTCAGAAAAGCGTATGACTATAATTAAGATCTCTTTTGTCGGATTATTCTTAGCTTGTTCCAGGTGCAGAATCTCAACCGCCAGTTCCTGGATCCTCACCAGGAGAAGATGATAGATCAAAGTCAGCACCAACTTCCCCATGTGATCAAGGTTCATCAACATTTATTTTCTCCTAATAAATACATTGCATTACCTTAATATTTTGATTAAACTATATCATTTAAAAATGCAGCTCCACCAGTTCAGATTTAACAGAAGAACATTCAATCTTTAAACAGTGTCATAATTAGCACAACTTCATTTGGTGGACCAGTTGCACTTTTTCCTGGATCAGTCAGCCTTCCAGACAGTCACTCATGTCCTTGTCATCTTGCAGTGTGACTGTTGCAGGGCTGTTTACGTGGGGCTGCCCTTGAAAGCTCCCCCCCCCGACCGGAAGCTGCAACTGGTCCAGAACACAGTGGTGCAAGCGGTGATGGGCTTGCCTCAGCACACCGATGTGATATCTCTGTTTCATGAGCTACACTGATTGCCATTGTACTTCCAAGTGTGATTCAAGGTGCTGATTATCACCTATAAAGCCCTACATGACATAGGGTCCAGCCATTTGCAAAACTGCATATCTTCTGTGATTTCTGCCTGTCCAGTATGATCTGGCACAGTGGGCATATTCCAGGTCCCCTCGATTAAACAGTGTCATATTTTGGGACCCAGGAAGTATGCTTTCCCTGTAGTGGTGCCTGGAATGAAGTCCCCCTAAGATTTGTATGGCTCCCACACTGATGACATTACAAAAAGCCTTAAAGACATTGTCTGAGTCCAACACTGACTGTTAAAAAATCCCAATAATTAAACCATAATCTAGAACAGGAAAAAGTAATCTTTGGCAGTGCCTTTTGTGAGGAGCCTTAGGGCCACAATGAGTGGGGTTGTCACGCAGATTTTTGTTTTTTGTTTTTCCTGAGGAGTTTACAGCTTTTTATTTATATTTAAAGTTCAAAATGGCAGAAAATTGCACACCAGTTGTCAACAATTATGGTCAGAAAATGTTTTGAAGGTGTATGAAGCCTGGAGACTCAGCTTATCACTGCTGCCTTAAAATGATAAAGCAACCCAGTTCTATGTTGCGTGTTAACACTGGGATGAGCATTGTCAGGGAATATCCTTTATGGGCTCTGAATCTCCCAAAGGAAGAGTTGTGGAACAGAGCCAGTATCTGGTAGGCTGCTCTCTACTTGAGGCATACATTTTCCCACAAGATCCTTCTGTTTTCTAGACCAGTTTACATTCAGTCAGGAAGGTATGCATAAAATTGGGATGGGCCATAACCTCTCATTCTTTGCAACTCAAAAAAGCATCTGGTATAGTTCATCTATCTCTAAAATTAACATAAAATCCTGCAGAGATTTTTGTAAAATATCTTACCTGTCAGTACTGTTTTTTATCTTTGCACAGAAATCAAAGAGCTTGAAAATAACATCAGGAAAGCATTATCATTTGACAATCGAGGAGAAGAACACAGGGGAACAGCAACAACCTCAACTGACAGCCAACTTAACACACCTGGGGAGAATGGGGAAAACGGAGAGGTCAAAGCTCAGACAAAGCGAATGGGCCTGGAGGAGTTTAACTTCATTAAAGTATTAGGAAAAGGCAGCTTTGGAAAGGTGAGTAGCCTACAATTGCTGCTTGGTTCTTTTTGGTCACATGAATTATCATGACTCCTAAACTGAGAATATTACTCCCCATATCCAGAAACACTCTTTGTCATGTGGCAATATTGGCAAGATGTGCCACTTCTGTTTTGCCAAAAACCAGCCTTGGAATAGCATATTAGGAGCGAGCCACATAACACGGTCCTACAAGAAGCAGTGAGCAGAAGACCCAACTAAATTAAATAAATATTACTATTACTCTTTTTAATTAATTTAGTGATTTAACTATTGCATTGTAACACATCCATACACATTTACACTAATCCCTTCCCATCATATCTCAGTTGATTTCCAAGTTTAAAATAAATTATGTGAATAAAAACATCTAAACCAAAGTCTTTTAGAGAGACATATATGCATTAGAAGAGGCAGAAGGATAAGGTAGAAAGTGGCAGTAGCTGTGGCATTTGGGTAGTTGCTGGTGGACTACAGAACTGGGGTGTGTATAAGAGGTGTTCCTAAGTCTTACCTGTCCACATACAGCCTTGGAGCTATAGGTTGTGTATCTCTGCATGATGCGAATAGTCATTTCTGTTTGAACTTCCTCCCACCAACAAAAAGGAATTCTAGAGCAATAGCAGCAGAAAACGACAGAAGTGGCCGTGACTGAGTGCCAGGAAGAGTATGTGTTGAAACCCATGCAGCAGCAATAAGGACAATGAAGCATTAATTCTCCTCTGGACCCACAAATTCTCCCAGAATTACACAGATCTTTGGGGGGAAAGATTGGGAGTGGGGAACAAAGCACCACATCAGGTGAATGAGTCAGTTTCTTCTGATGTAATCTGGGATTCTTCTGAGTTTGTGGAATCCAAGGAAATGAATAGAGTTCTCCATAGTTCGAACTCTACCAGTTACAGGCTTGACCCACAAGACTCCTGATTTCCTTTGGTTAGTTAGGCAAGGCGTGAGTAGCTGGATCTGAAGGTTATCAATGCTTCCTTGAGGAAGGAAAGTATGCCATCTGCTTTGAGGGTGGCCATAGTGCACCCATTCCTAAATAAATCATTGCTGGACCAGTTCATTTTTTATAACTTTTCTTCAGTGTCCCTTTTAGTTGTTGAGAAGGTGGTAGGAACAACTTCAGGGGAGATTTGGCAAACTGAAGACGGCGCTACAAAAGCGGAGCCAACGATCAAAGATCCAAGAACTGGTGAGAAGACTGGTTCTTTGGAACCTCTCTAGATAAGGAGAGGACAAGAGATTGCCCACAGGTGCTCTGGATGGCTGCTCCTCATGAGGAGACCGTAGGACATTGGTTTTCCATGGGTTTGAGCACCAGGAGACAATGGGATTAGCCATCTTGCTCACAACTGCAGCAGAGACTTTTAAAGGACACTGATTTTGAAAACCTCTAATCACTTTTGGAAATTGTTCATTAACTACTTATAAGCTATTAGAGACCTTCGGACCAACGAGTCTGAAAACGCTGGTGAGTCTGCCTTCAATCCTGAATGACAGAAAATTTTAATCATAAACTTAAGAATTTAAAGAATCTGAAATATACAGCAAAAAGCTAAATGAGATTTGATCTTAAAAAGTTATAAACAGACTAAGGGTCCAGATAAAATTGGAACATTGAAACTTTTACAATAAGATTTTTGAATTAATTATAAAGAGCAAACAGTTTCTCATGGGAAATAAGTTCCGTTTTCATTTTTACAAGACAAAGATAAGAAATTTCATGATTTCAAAAACTGGACACTAGAGGGGACTAAAGTTTTTAGATAGAGGAAAGATTTACAAACCTGCAAAATGCTGCAAAGCATTCTAACAATGAAAATAGTTAAGGAGATTTTTGAAGGATGGAATCAAAAAATATTAGCCACAATATCAACAATGT